AAATTATTTATTTGCATCGTTTGATGTATTTCTAATATTGTATAAAAAGGGCTAAAAGTGAAGTCTTTTTGATTAATTGGCAGAATAATCATGGATTAATCAATAATTAAAATAATTGTTAGTTGCAGCCACACTCCATTTACTTTTAAGCAAACTGCAAACTTAATAACACTTAATAACGCCAACATGTATGCAGTCTGAGTATGACAGAATTCACACCGTCCTATGTATCATGGCATTAACGATAATTTTGTGATTTTTTGTTTTTGTTATGCGAAGCACCTTGAACCGCCTTGCTGATGAAATGTGCTACACAAATAAACTTGATTAACTGATTGATTAAAGATGGATGAGTGGGTAATAAAACTAGAACATTGCAATGCAAATAAAGTCGAATGAGTTTTGCCGATGTACATGTTGTGTTTTATAGACTGCAGAGCAATATCAATGGGACAAGGACAAGAGGTCCACGCTAGGAAGCTTATCAAGACATCAATGACGGAGGTATATTTACTCTATGTGGGATATTGTCTTCAGTTCACCCTAACTGACTTTAGCTGTTAAAGTGCTGGTGTAAAGCCAATACATAATACACAGCCTTACAAGTTATTAAACTCATGTGTCTAAAATCAGTGCATTAAATTCAGTTCCCCTCCAGGAGATGATTTTACTGCTCTTCCCTTTCTGCTCTCTTTCAACATTTCTTTTCTGTTCGTCTGATTGGTGAATTTGCTATTTCTTCTTCCTGTTGACACTGATGATTTGTCATACCTAAAGGGACGGACTGAAAATTTAGACTTAAAGTGGATCTTTCACTTTAAACTCATGTTGGAGCCTTTGTATAGCAACGGCTCAAAAAAATTCATACCACTGGAAAATTGAACAACTCTCTCCACAAACCCTTTTCCAGGTCAAAGCCAAGACTCTGCCAGATTATTGAACATCTAACTTGATCTGTTGTACAGGGAGGCTGGGTCCTTCTGCAGAATTGTCACCTGGGGTTAGAGTTCATGGACGAGCTGCTCGAAACGGTCACGGTGACTGAGGTCGTGCATGAGACTTTCAGAGTGTGGATCACCACAGAACCACACAATAAGTTCTCTATTACACTCCTGCAGGTAACACAGAGTAAACTTTACATTCTGTCCTACTGGTAACTTAAGCAACTAGTATAGCACACAAACATCCTTCTCCTCTTTGTCCCCTTAGTCTTCTATCAAGTTTACCAACGATCCGCCACAGGGAATACGTGCTGGCTTAAAACGAACATTTGCAGGAATCTCACAGCACCAGCTGGAAGCCAGCAACCTGCCCATGTGGAAGCCCTTGCTGTACGGTGTGGCCTTTCTTCACACTGCAGTGCAGGTGATTGTCTTCAAACGATATTGCTGCCTTTTTATTATTATTATTATTATTATTATTATTATTAAGATGTGCATAACATATGACAGAGTACTGTGTAAGAAAATGAAAAATAGAAAATTATGAGAATAAAGTCAAAGTGATACAAGGATGAAGTCATAACATTGTGACTTGTACTTGAAATATTTTGACTTTATTCTTGTAATAATATGACTGTTCTTACAAAGATAAAATTTCAACTTACTACGTCAATACTCTCGTAATAATAGATGCAGACCGGCAAGAACAAAAAATATGCTTTGACAAAATTAGTAACTTGTAAATAACCGGAACTTTGTTTAATATACAGTCCACTGAAAATGTTGAAAATGCCTTTTTTTGGGAAAACTGGGTTGAAAAAATGTATACTTTAGAGCAGTGGTTCCCAGATATGATCCTTAAGCACTCCTAGTTTGCATATTTAGATGTATCTCTGTTCTGGCACACTTGATTCAAATGACCGCATAATGTCCTCTGCACCCACCAAATGCTGCAGAAGCCTGTTAATCCCTCATTCATTTAAGTTAGGAGTTTGGAAGCAAGGAGACACTGAAGACATGCAGGGCTGATGCTTGATGAGCCAGTTTGGGAACCGCTGCTTTAGAGTAAAGTTTGAAATGTTTTTATTTATTTTTTTTTTTTGTCTTGTTAGTTGAGCTTTAAAGTTGTATTGAGATAATTTGAGTATTCCAGTAGAACGTAGTCTTTAAAAAAACACACACAACGAGCATTTAACATCTAAGATGTTTTTTAAAAATGTCTGCAGTTCCTGATTGTCTATGACGGTCTAGTCAGCAAGGGGAATTTAAGGCTGTTGCTTTTTTTGTCACAGGAACGCCGCAAATTTGGGCCTTTGGGTTGGAACATACCTTACGAGTTCAACTCGGCCGATTTCTCTGCAAGTGTGGAATTTGTTGAGAGACACTTGGATGATTGTGGGCCCAAGCAGGTAAGGATGAATCAAAAACGGTCCGAATGTCTGAAGGTCTCTGCCGAATTCATTAGTTTGTCCTTTTTTCCCTCCGCAGGATGTTTCATGGGTAACGGTGCGATACATGCTCGCTGAAGTGCAATACGGAGGAAGGGTCACAGACGACTACGATAAACGCCTGCTGAAGTGTTTTGCTCGTGTACAGTTCCCAGTCTTGTCCTAATTAGTTCCTACATGTCCACTATTGTAACGTTTATGAAATATGTAAGACTATATGCTTTTAACTACAGGTGTGGTTCAGTAAGAAGATGCTAGACCCATCATTTGTCTTCTACACGGGCTACAGAATCCCTGTTTGTGAGACAGTTGAGGAGTACATGAATTACATCCAGAGCTTGCCTCCTCTTGATGCGCCCGAAGCGTTGGGCCTGCATTCTAATGCCGATATCACGTAAGATGCTGAATTTATGGGAAGCGCCATCCCCGTTAAGAGCAAAAACCTGACGTCCGACATGGCAAGCGTCACATTTCTGCTGCATTTTACAACATTTCATAGATATCAGGCAAATACGTCCGCTGAAGTGTTGGACACGATCACCAATATTCAGCCGAAGGAAAGCGGAGGAGGCTCAGGTGCAACTCGAGAGTCCATTGTTTACAACATGGCAGAAGACATGTTGGAGAAATTGCCTGAGGATTATGTGCCACATGAGGTCGGGTTTAACCTGATTTGTTTTTTAATTGCGCTAGTTCTTTTCTCCACAAAATCTGGAATGTGTATTTTCTTGAATGAAGGTCAAAGCCAGGTTGCAGAAGATGGGCGCTCTAAACCCGATGATTATCTTCCTGCGTCAGGAAGTGGATCGAATGCAGAGAATAATCACTGTGGTGCGGACTAGTCTGAGTGACCTGAAGTTGGCTATTGACGGCACTATAATCATGAGCGACGTAAGACTTCTGTTTGCGAATATTTTCTTGTTCATTTCAGCATACGTTCTTTGATGAGCTCCCTGCTGAGCTATACTGTCTTTCCTAGAACCTCCGTGACGCCCTGGACAACATTTTTGACGCCCGTGTTCCCAGCCTGTGGAAGAACATGTCCTGGGAGTCTTCCACTTTGGGCTTTTGGTTCACCGAACTTCTTGAGAGAAACAAGCAGTTCGACAGCTGGGTGTCTGAAGGCAGACCAAAAACCTTCTGGATGACTGGGTTCTTTAATCCACAGGGTGAGTTTTATTAAGCTGACGCAGATTTACACTGACGTTCTGACTAACTAGACAAGAACTAGAAAATATTCCACATTTCTTGTCAACAAGGCAGCAAGAAGAAGAAAGTTTGTCTCCCCACAAATTCAAGACAGAGTTTATTTTTTTCGGTTTTTAAAAACTATTTTGTAATTGGTTAATTGACTGACTGATGCCATCACCCTGTAATGTCTATAGGTTTTCTCACAGCCATGAGGCAAGAAGTAACCAGGGCCAACAAAGGCTGGGCTTTGGACACCGTCACACTTAACAACAAAGTTTTGAAAAAGGCAAGGGATGAAATCACTGCCCCACCCACGGTGAGTTTCTTGCCACCTTTTGTGCGGCAGCCATAGCCGTGAGGAGCAATAACAGCAGGTGTATCTGCAAGGGGAAAAAAACAAAACAAAAAAAAAGCAACTAAACCGAAACTTCATTTCCTTAACAGGAGGGAGTTTACGTCCACGGTTTGTACCTGGAAGGTGCCGGCTGGAACAGAAAGAACATCCATCTTAGTGAGCCCTCACCCAAAGTGTTGTTCACCCCCATGCCTGTGATCCACATGTTTGCCATCAGATCCACTGCGCCCCTTGACCCTAAGCTTTATAGCTGTCCAATCTACAAGAAATCAAGGCGAACGGACCAGAACTACATCACAGCAGTGGCGTTGCCGACCATCCTGTCACCAGATCACTGGATCATGCGCGGGGTCGCTCTGCTCTGCGACATCACATAAACATAGGCTGCGTCGTCTTAATGCCGTCAAGGTGTTCAGTAACTATGTGCGTATTCACATTTGTCTCTCATTCAATGCTGGACACCTTTGCTTCTTGTTATTCTAAATCAGTAAATAAACATTTGTCTGAAAGCATATTTTATGTTTTGAAAGATCTCATTCATTTATACTAAGTGGTGTAGTTGCTAAAAAAAAAGTACAAGCGAATAAGGCGACGCAGGTGTTTTAGAAGCTGCTGCTCTGCTTGGAGTTTCACACACAAACATTTCCCTGGTTACCGTTTCTGTTTATTTCACCTTTCTGGGGTAAATCTTCGAGGGCGGACAGGCCAAGACTGGCCTGGAAAAGATCCGAGCAGTATTCTAGAAAGCAGTTCCAGAATACTGTCTCCTCTATTTGCAAAACTCTACACAAAATTCATCCTCAGCACCGATAACATGCTTGTGAGAAACGTGGCCGCAGAGTATATGAGAGAGAATCAGCCAGAAGACGAGCAGCTTAGCCTGAAGAATAGCTTCCAGGCTCCCAACAGTGTTCTAACATTATTCATGAAGTGTCAGAAAACATCACATTGTTTTTTCTTTAAATTTGGTCAATTAGTTCTATTCCCTACCACAAGGGGGCGACGTAACTATTTCGAGAGGCGGAAGCAGAGTTTTTTTTTTATGGATTTTGTTTTGGTTCTTCTCCCATCTCCTAGCTAAGTAGCTCGCTGCTGTAGAGCTGCTGTTAATTAATTGCTGATGTTTTTATGTTTAATTGACAACTCCAGAAGATGAAGAAGTTATTTGAGGACTTTAAAAAGGACATAAAATTTAAATCTGCAGGACCCGGGAAGAAGTTAACAGAAGATGCAAGGCAAATATAACAATTTATTGCTTTCTGCGGTGCTAACTATTGATTTAAAAAAAAAAATCACAATGTTGGCTTTCTTGCGCAGTTTCTTTATTTATTTATCTGCGAGTAGATCACTAAAGTAATGCAAAGACGGCGGGAAACGCCCAGCTAACTTTGACCAGCAGATAATCCATCAACAAGCTTAAATCGCTAAGTAAAGAAGCCACCTGAGAACTAAAAGACGAACCATTTCTGTCGTCTGTGATTAACTTGACTATTACATGTTGTGACTCGAGGCGGTCTGACCTGAACTCATGACATGCTGGATGTTCGCTTCCGCAGCAAGCCTGCGGTGGCGCCGAGCAGCTGCAGCACCAAGCAGAGCCGGCACGCTCCCAGCGAGGGAGCGCAGAGGGCAGGGGCCGCGGCCCTGGCCCGGGTCGAGCAGAAGCAGCGGCCCAAGGTGCACACCTCTCAGGACGCCATCAGGAACCAAGGTGAGAAACGCACCGTCACCTGAACCCGGACTCACCGAGTACCGTTTTGGTCAATACAGTAACTAATGCAACAACTTGGTGTTTTAGCAAATGGATTATTATATTGATTATTCTGAAGATGAACCAAATACAAGAATTGACCCATTCTCTGGATTGTTTTTATTTTTGCCACTTGAACCCTTTTTTATATACAGTATTCAAAATACATTTAAATAAACAACGCAATTCCTTTTTCAAGCAAAAATAAACCCAGTTGCCTAAACTCAATTCCAGAATTCCTTTTTGTGTATGTTTGATTATTTGTGGCAAAGGATACAGCTGCTTTCTGCATCCTCTGCTTATAACTAAAAATATTTGATAGGAATAACAATCATATATGATTATTCTTAAATGTCTGGAAAAAGACTCTGTATTGCACTATCCCTCCAGCCTTTCATCAATTCTTCCATCCATCGAATGCCCCATCTATGTCCTTCCTCCCCTCTGTTCTTTCACCTGCCAATCTGTTCATCCATCCCACTGTCAGACCATGAATTTATTCTGGATTCTTCCCACTATATGTCTTTCCATCTATGTGTTCTTTTACATCTGTCCATTTTTACTTCCACCCATTCATCCAACCCACTTTCTGGTTTATTTTTATTTTATTTTGCAGCATCTGTATTTAGAAAGTAGTTCTTTGTTTTTATTCACCCTTCAGCAACTGTCATGAAATAGACTGAGCACTCTGCATAAAACCTGTTGAAAAACCTTCAGAAGATGCAAATATAAACATTTGATGAAAAGAGCTGCTAGTCTTTAGCAGCAGTCCAGAGTCACAGCTACTGTGTACAGTAAAGCAAAAACTAATCGCTTAAGATTTTTGTTTAGTCTTGCAAGAATCTGCTGAAGTAATACCAGTTTCCTCTGCTTTCCTTTCACAGTTAAAAGAGAACTGGAGGTGGAGGCAGCAGCGCTGGCCGAGAAGGAAAATGCAGTCACAGTGGAGGTGCGTCCAGGCTCAGTGCTTTTAACACTTTATTTAATGAGCAAAAAAAGTTGAACAGCTGCAGTTACTGACAGTCATTTTCTGCTCCAGGGATCCAAAGTGAAAGACCCGGCCTGCCTCTCTGTGTCCGGCGTCTACTTCACCTGCCCTCTCACCGGAGCCACGTTAACCAAGAGTCAGAGGGACGTGCACATTAAAGAGGCCATTCTGATGGTACGTGTCCTCAGCTCTTTGAAAGCACAATATGCCTGAAGGGTTTTCTAAACGTAACAAGGTGATTTAGAGCCAGATTAAATGTAATCCTGCTGGTGTTGTTGGCAAAACACGGGGTGCGTTTTTACCGTCAGCGCTTCGAAGAGGACGACATCGAGGCTTCGGTTATGATGGTCCACACATTCAACAAAGACAGAGAGAAAGTGAAAGCAGCTGTGGACATCATCAGCAAGTAAATCTTGAATATATTATATTATTTTTGCTTATATATGTTCATATTTTTACCTAATCCATTTTTTTTCTGCTCCTCCCCCACATACCAGTCTTTCTTCTACCTTATATATATATATTTTTTTTAAAAGCTTATTTCATCTGATTTTTTTTTTAACAGGTATGTTGACAATATATGTAAGAATCCATCAGAGGAGAAATACAGAAAGATAAAAGTTAGCAACAAGGTGTTCCAGGTGAGCTCAAAGCCAACGTTCAGAACTAGGAAAATGTGGGGAAAAAAAAAAAAAAATTGGAATCATTTTTAAACATTTTAAAAATCACTCCTCAATTTTGTTACAGGAAAAAGTACGTCCTGTGGAGGGCAGTCGGGAGTTTCTGCAGGCTTTGGGCTTTATAAGTGTCATGCTGCCTGTCGAGGGCCAAGGTGAGTTTCTCCCGCTGTTTTCATCCCAGTGCCTTAAAAAGTCTTCATAGCATTTTAGTGAAGTGGAATGAAAAACTGATGCAGAGTTTTTCCCCCCCAAAAAAACCCAAAATCTTCACAAATAAAATATAAAAAGTCTTAACACGTTTTCACATTCACCCTTTGTAGACTCTGATGCCCTAAAATAAAACCAAAAGCCTTTAAAAATTCGACTTGCAAAACAGCAGCGCTTAGTCGGCGTGTGCCTTTTGTAACCCGTGTTTACGTTCGACGGGGATCAGAGGAGGAAGAGGAGTTCCTGGTGCTGCCGGAGCAGAGTGACGACGCCCTGGAGTTGATGAAGGAGCGGAGGGACCGCCTTCAGAGGGGAGAGCCGGTCAGAGCCCAGCTGGACCGGAAGCCTCAGGCTTTCCGACCGTCTCCCAACGCGCAGCGCTTCGAGCTGCCGCCCGAGTTCTACAACCTGTCGGCGGAGGAGCTGAAGAAGGACCAGCAGCAGAGGTGACGTCGCCGCAAGCAAAACACGAAATCTTTCCATGTGCTTTTTGGTCCAGTTTCCGGTGCGAACGTGTCAGTGCACTTGAAACACAACAAAGCTGACTTAGAAGACACTTTTCAGCAAGAAATACGAGCTTGTTTGAAGTAGACAATTTGCCAGCCCCACCGGCGGGTCGTTTCACTCACTACGTGTTTTTCCCCAGATCGGAGCTGGTGGAGAAGAACGCCATGCTTCGCACAAAAGCCATGAGGGAGAGAGAGGAGCAGAGGGAGAGGAGGAAATACAACTACACCCTGCTCAGAGTCAGGCTGCCTGATGGGAACCTGCTGCAGGGTACGCAGCAGCCAGGCCTCAGTGAACAGCTTAGTGTTAGCGGCTGCACTGACGGGCATAAAGAGTTGCGGCGTTTGAGTTCCCTTTAGGATCAGTAAAGCATTTACTTATTTACGTTTTGAGCTGAGCTGAATTGAGCGGTGTGTGACGTCTCTTCCAGCCACGTTTTACGCCTGGGACCGTCTGCCGGCGCTCTTCGAATTCGTCCGGGAGTCTCTGGTGGACGGCTGGCAGCCGTTTGAGCTCATCGCCCCCGGAGGGCAGAAGCTGCAGGAGTCCGAGGAGGTCACTCTGGTCGAGTGTAACTTGGTGAGTTGAAGGTTCGCGTCGGAAACGAGCGATGCAAAGCACACTCAAAGCTGCAGGGTGTACCTTTTTAAATACATGGGGGGGGGTTTATGCATTTGCCGAAACTATACATGTTTCCATTGGCCATATAATTGCGCAAATTTGAATGATGAAAATAAATGAATTGATTAGTGGAAATGTGTCAATTAAAAAAAACAAGAAACAGGTTTTTTGCTAAAAGTTTTTTGCGGCACAACGACGGGGTTGCATCAGAATTAGTGTCATTTGGCAAAACTGCAATGGAAAGATTGTTTAATGATTAACAAACTTATTCACATGTGATCTAAACCTTCTTTGAATGGAAACGACGCCTTTTCGACATCAGTGGAACATCGACAGTTTTGCACACATTTGTAATAGAAACGCAGCTAATCGATGACAATCTGTTTTTCACAGATCATCTCTTTCATGTTATTCTGTCAAATTTGAACAAACATGTAAAAAAAAAAAAAAGACATCACTGCACTTAAGTGACAGATCAGATAAATCATCCATCCTGTTGCGGTTACATCAGTTTGACGTGTTCAGTTTATTTGGATGCAGTTATTTATTTTTAAGGAGTCTAATTTTCCCTAAATGCGCTGCTTGACCGAACTGGATTTATATCAGCCTGGTTTATTTGACCAGCGAGTTAAAACTTATTTAAGTTTGAACTTCAAACCGGCTTTATCAGACGGGACCTCTGCAGTTCTCGGAGCGACGCCTCGCCAGAACAAAGAAGTGCTTAGAAAAGGTTTGACTTTTCCAAATCTGAACATTGTAAGGAACTGCAAGTTTCGTTTGGGTGAACGTGAAGGCTGTTGTTTGTTCTGGGTTTTATTTAGGGGTATCAGAGTACAGAGAACTAAAACTAAAAAAAACTATTAGCAGTTTTTAGTTGTTAAAAAAGGAACTAAAACCATGTATCCCATTCCAATCACTGCACAATCATGCTGTATGTTATGTTGGCTGCTCACATAAAATCAATTGAATTCTGTTGTTGTAACGTCACAAACACGAGGAAGTGTAATGAGTACGAATGCGAGACAAGTAGGAGGAATGTGTTTTAACCTCTGTTATTTTTATTACTGCCGTTTAGGTCCCCGCTGCCCTGCTCACGTTTGCCTGGGATGCAGCCGTGCAGGCGGACATCGCCGCTGCAGGCGGGAGGAGCTCCGCCGCCCTCCTCAAACCGGAGCTGCAGGACAGAATTCAAACCCTGAACTGAGAGGGCGCCCTCTGACCCCTACTACCTCCTCCCTCTTCCTCACTCACTGCTGAGGTGAAGTTGCCCCTTGGAGTAGTGCTGTGTTTATTTTTACAAATTCTACTTAAAGTTAAAGATGGTAGCGCGGCGGCAACTTCACCCTAAGGGATTTGTTTTAAACCTACTCGTCTCTCTCTCTCTCTCTCTGTCTTTCTCTCTCTCTCTCTCTCTCTGACTCTCTCCATGCGGGGACGCAGATCTCAGCAGCCATTTGTATTAAAGGAGCGACTACTAACATGTAACGGACTCGTTTGTCTGCCTTCCCCCCCCCTCGGTGTCTTGGCTCATTGTAGAAGTTGCGTAGTTCGGTTCGGCGGTTTACCGGAAGTCTTGAAGCGACCGCTTTCTTTCGTCAGTGTTCCAGGTGAACTCCGTGTCGGCCGTGTGAATGAACTCGTCACGTGACTCCGTACCAGTAACCGTGAGCTCCTGCTGCCTGCTGGTCGTCCGCTCGGCCGTAGCGTGCCGCTCTTTCCCGTGTTGTACAGCAGACTCTGCAGCCTCAGTGGGAGCACGAGACCATTGATGAATCAGAAGTCAAATGTTGTTTTTATATATATATATATACATATGTTGACCGGACGGACGCGGAGAGTTTAATAGCAGTACTTAACGTCACGCTGCTCGCTTGTGCATCTTAATGAACTAGAGGAACCTTGAAAAGGTTTGATTCAGTTTGGTTAATTAAAGCTTGCAGCTATGAAAACTGCAAATTCAGTTTAAATTAAAGTTTTCAAAATGTATTTTGATGGAAATGTCAGCCTACAGAAGTAACCTTTCTAATATAGACATATATAAAATTTATATATATATATCTATATCTATATCTATATATATATATATGTGTGTGTGTGTGTGTGTGTGTGTGTGTGTGTGTGTGTGTGTGTGTGTGTGTGTGTGTGTGTGTGTGTGTGTGTGTAGCAGTGTTGTAGCCACTGCTCCAAACTGGAGCAGTGGCTACAACAGATCCCAGGAACAACATCAGACATCTCAGTCCAGAAATGTGCAGTCCTTGGCACAGCCAAGATACTGCAGGACCCTCAAGCTCCCAGGCCTCTGGTAGAGGACCCGAGCTCAGAGGATAAGAACCACCCGCGGTGGGTGAGAAGGGAATTTTATATATATATATATATATATATATATATATATATATATATATATATATATATATATATAAAATTTTTCTTTTTTGCACTGACTTTCCACTTCATAAAACCCCAAATCATCACTAACTGGAAACTTTCCACCCTTTCCTGAAGCATGTTGGATTTTGGGCATCGCCACGCTGCCCTCCACACTCCAAAATCTTAATTCCAAGTAAATCGCAAAATGCAATTTTGCAATTTATTTGGGTCAACTGCTTTAGTCTCTGTCACATCTTGAAGCTCCTCAAACAAATGATTTCTGTGTTTAAAAAAAATTTTTTTTGATTTTCTCAGAAACTGAATCTTTGGGTTTTCACGAGCTGCGAGACATAATTATCAAACTTAAAAACAAATGCCTGAAATAATCAGCTGAGGTGTGTTGGACCTGCAGAGTAAGAGTCTGAATTTTAAAATCACTGAAGAATAATCTAATTAATTGAGAAGCACCTGTACTTTAGCTGTTAAAAGCACTTTGAAGGATCATTTAAGACCTGCAGAAAAACTAAAGACGGGTTTATTTTGTGATAAAACTCTCTTCATTATAGGCACTATGGGCATAAACGATAATAATCCACTAACTATTATGGATTATCAGTAAAGCTTATGTTGTCTCCATCATTAATTTAGCTTTTTGTTTTCTCTGCTGAAATGTGTTTTGTCGAACATTGCGGTTCTACCTTGAAGTCTCGTGTTTTGAGGGTTCACATTAAACGTATGGGAGCAATCACCAAGTAGATTTGCAACAGTATGTTTATTTCGTTCTGCCTCTCCTCACTCAGTTGTTGCTTCTTGTTTGAGATTCTTCTCTCTGCAGTACAAAATATTGAAATCACGTGTTCTCCAGGATTATCACATCTCCACGTTTCAATCTTCCACCTCATAACTTGCAGGTTGTTTTGCATATAATGACTGATAAAACAGTCATGAATAATTTGAACGTCTTTATTTTATGTTATATTTAGTGCAGCTGCCAGTCAAAAGAGGGAAGATTTTCCGTTGAAATCCTGATATTTGTGAAGGAAACTCGCCGCTCGTTTCTCCACTCTTCCACTTGTAGCTCGACGACCTGCCACCAACACACACACACATACACACACACACGGGTTTCAATATTTGATCAGCATTGTAGCTTTCTTTCATAAATTATTGAGCAGCTGTGATTTAAATGTCATGCTTTGAGTTGTGCTGTTGTTTTTCAACCTGCCTGTTCTAAAGAGACTCCCTACTGCAGTTCTTTCTTTAATAAAAGTCCTAAGTCTGTATGTGTTGTTTCTTTAGAGGAGCCTTTGAGTGAGCAGCCTGTTTTTACATTACTGCATGAATGGTGGGGGGGGGGGAATAAGGCCAGCATTAGCAAGTCATTAAATGAGGTAATTATCAAATTCCATGGTTGTGCGTCACATAAATAAGGCCTTATTGCTGCAGAAGGCATTTTTTATTTGTACATATTTGCTAAAACTCACCATTTTATGGCCGCATAAGGAGACAGAAACACATTGGCTGATCCCGGTCAGAAGCAGCCAATCAAAGCCAGCCGGAATGACATAGCAATGCTAAATGTGCTAATGGCAGAGGAACAACTCTCCATTACAGGAAAATAACATTTTAACTTCTGTCATTGATGGCTATGCTAACTAGCATTAGCATTCCTGGCAGGTTCTGTTGTGAGGAACAAGCTGTCGCCCCGCGGTCTCAAACTCCAGTCCTTCAACTTTTGGATGTCTCTGCTTCAGAACACCTGTCCCCAATATTAGCTCATTAGCACTAGCCTGACCACATGCTAGTGAGCCTGTTTAGCCCATTAATTCACTCAACAGATGCATCTAAAAGTTACAAAACTTTCTCTCTGGGCTTTCAATAATGCAGTTTGAGACCACTGAGTGTGTGGTGCAGCAAAGGGCAGGAGGAAGGGTGTGAGCAACCGAGCTTGATTGACAGCGCCAAGACACTCCTCTCTGATGGAGCGGTGTAATTTTACAATCTGCAGTACGAGCTTTTTTTTCCTCACAGATTACTGGTCTTAGCATCAGGACATAGTTTTTAATAATATAAAATTATTTCGTTTATTTGGGCTGGACGCACATCGACACACAAACTGGGCAAAACATCAGTCCCATGTGTGCGTCATAGTCTAACAGCTAATTTGCAGCACTTGTCGCTAGGTCTTTCAAACAGTATCTCTAAAAAAAATTGAAGCGAAATAAAACTTGTGCATTTAAAGCTACATACTGTAGTTTTAAATTTTAGACAGAACTAATCATTTAGTGAATTCCACAACAAAAGAAAGTTGGCACACGACAGAAAAAAACGTATATATAAAAGGTGCAGTAATTTTATTTGTTTAATGAATTTATCTTGTTCAAGTATTCTTGAGAAAATACATATATTTATAAAACACCAGCACTGTAACTAACTGTACACATACAGATGTTTTCTACCCTTCCCATGAAGGCAGCATGAATGAAACCAGTAAGATCACAATGTACAGATGAACTCGGAGCCTTGCTTTCCAGCACTAACTTCTGATAAATTATGTACAATCGGAACAAAAGGAAAACAAAACGCAAGTTTGTGGTTTCAAAAACCGTGATTATTGGTGTTCTTAACGCTTCTTATAACATTTATTTCTTGTTCCATCTCGGCCCAAGCTTTAGTAATAAGACTCTGATAAGTTGCTTTGATTCTTTTCAAAATGTTCAACTTTTATTCTCTAAACATCTAAGACACCTTGTTGGGAAACAGGTGGGGTGGGCTTAAAAAAAACACAAAAAAAACACCCAGCCTGGCTTCTGCCGGCGTTGAGGAGGCGATGGGTCACACGGCTTGAACGCTCGCGTCTCCTTTGGGTGCAGAATAACGAGTCGTGAAGGGAGAGCCGCAGGGGAAGGGCGGCCTGTGATTGGCTCAGGCTGAGGAGAGCGTGGCGGCGGTTTCAGACGCGCCGACGTCCGTTGAACAGTCCACCTGGCGGGAGGGCTTCTCTTTGTTGGGAGCTGCAAAGTCAGATCAAGTTTGATAAACTGAAGCATTCAGATGTATTCCTAATTTTCTGTTTTTATATACCAGATCTGGTTTCAATTGATTTCTGTTTTTCTTCAAGACAAATCACAAATATTTTTCAGAAAGTGACTATTTTTTGTCATCCCTTCCATGCACTGTGATATAGACTGAGAATTTTTGTCATTACAAAGAATGTAGTCAAAATGACAGAACAGAGATGCTATATTACCAGAAAATTTACTTTATGAGCAAAAAGCTTCAACGGTTTTCAGATTCTTTGAAGTAGACAAACGTTTAAAAGTTTGGCTACTGATAACACTTTAAAAAATCAGCATCAACTTCTAATTTTGCCTGTAAACTTACACCAAGAGAACAACTTCACAAGATGCTCAGCATTCCTAATTTTAAATGATTTTTAAATTTTTTTGAGTTCTCATTAAATCAATACTTTATTCTCGTTATTTCGCCAGTTCTCCTAATTAAAAATTAAAAGTAAAAAAAAAATTTTTTTCAATTATAGCTTGACTTTAATATTAACATGAATTCAAAATGTAAATTAGTAGAAGCTTTATTTACAAATAAAGTTTGTCAAACAAGATGGCCACCCTGGTGGGAAAATCCTGATTTTCACAAAACATGAAGATATATTTCCCCAGCCCTAACTTCTGCTCCTCTCAGGTGACTCACCACTCTGTGTGGAGATAATGATACAGTCTTCGTCATAGTCATCCTCAGTGTCGGCCTGGAAACCGTCCGTCTCCGCTGCTTCGGCCTGAGAGAGAACAATAAAGACACGTTAACATCGTTTTCCATGAGGGAGGGAGGAGTAAAAACGTGCGGCGAGAAGCTTTTCTCTTTTCGGAGCCATGCCTGCTCAGGATCGTTGCATCTCCTCATGAACTTGGTGATGGACATGCTGCCGGCGCTCTTCCTCTTGTTGGAGGCCGACTGGGCGGAGGCAGCTTGGGGCGTGGTGGGAGAGTTTCCCTGGGAGCCCGTGGCCGCCTGGGGCTCTTCGCGGGACTCGTCCCGGGCTCCGGTGGTGAGGTAGGTCCACTTGCACGGCACTGGGAGGGCGTCCTGGCCGAAGCG